ATTATTGTGATCACTTCGGATAGAAATAATTCAATCGTTGATTATGATTATGATGAAGTTTCTCTCAGATGATTTTCCAGAGAGGAAACTCAAAAGCAATTACATTAAACATGATTCATGCGTTCATTATTCATACTTTAATATTGTGCGGAGGATATAAAAATCTACCTGTTCAAAAGTATTTGTAAATCTGAGGAATTTTTCGTTCAACTCCCGTCTTGCTCTCATCACAAGAAAAGAAACCGACATCGCGGCACGGACTGACTAAATTTAGAGTCGAAGGCTTTTCACATCGTTTGATTCATGATTTTTATCACAATCTACGTAAGATGCGGGAGAGTTCGTGTCTGGTTGTAAATGAAAGAAAATACCGACGATATTCGTGAAACTTCTTATTGATTTTCCTCCGTTGAACGTGAAAAATATTTTTAAATTTTCACGAAATTTTAATAGACGAGAATGAAGAAAAAAAATCACGAACAATACCGAAGACGAAGCAAAATAAAATTTGTAAAAATGTTTCGCTTTCATCAAATAGAATCGTTCAGATCGAAATCGTTAGTCGGTTGTATAACTTGATCCGGAGTTGTTGAGTCCAAAGCAATCTAGAAAACACACATCAGAATGGTGAGTGAAAATTTTAAGACTTTTCTTCAAGATTTCCAATTTTTTCATTCTTTGATTTAAATTCTGAATAATTTTAAAATAAAAAAATTATTTCTCTCCTTTTTTGACAACAACAGGCAGAGAAATTGAAAGACCAAGAAATTGAAAGTAAGTTAAGATGGATTATCTTTAAATGGATTAAGAATTATGTTGAGAGTTTGAAGGAAAATTAAAGTGAAAATCACTAAAGAAAATCGTTATTACGTAAGAAATATGAAATGTGAAGCATGATGCAGTTTGGTTTCATTAAAAGAAGTGTTGAGTTGAGAGTGACTTACAGTCATAATTAAAGATATGATAATAAAGTTAAGTGCTACATGAAATAAACTTTCAGAGAGTTGCTGAATAAAGTGAAATCGGGTCGAGAAAACTGTGCGAAAAAGTTTTCTGCTTTAATAAAAAATGTTGGCCGCGGGCAGCTAAAAATAGAAGCACCGACAAATAAGGCGAGTAGAAAGCCTTTTCTCTCGCTCGCGCGATCGTTTATTATGAAGTTTCAATTCATGAGTAAGGAAAATCTAATTTTGTAAGAAGTGTACAAAAATGAAAATGAAAAAAAGAAAAGAAAAAAATCCACTGACTTAAGGAAAAAGTTATGCGAGAAATAATAAAAAAAATAAAAAATAAAAAACTGAAGGAATTTCGTAATGGAAAACATCATTGAAGTTATTCGATATCTGACGATGATATTTAGTGATTTGAACTTCACCTGATTTACATCAAACTCAACTGTTCTTGAATTGGAAACATGCTTGTTATTAACGCATATCTAATCGGAAATTTACAGACGCAGAATTCGCCTTCGGCATCTATGATTGCGATGGCTCAGGAAAGGTTGATGCTTATGATATCCCTGACGTCTTACGTGCATTGAACCTTAACCCAACATTAGAATTATGTGAGAAAATGGGAGCCACAAAGAAGCGTGGTGAGAAAAAACTCACAGTTGAAGAATTCCTTCCCATCTACGGACAAGTGAGTGATGTTCATGATGATGTAATGAAGTTATTTATTCAAAAATATTTTCTTTCTTCTCTCCATTCGCAACCTAGGTCAAAGTTCAAAAGGATCAAGGTAGCTTCGAGGATTTCTTGGAATGTCTGAAATTGTACGACAAAGAAGAAAACGGCACAATGCTTCTCGCTGAATTAGAACACACTTTAAAAGCTTTGGGTAAGTTAAAAACTTTTTTTTCTGTTGAAGATATGAAGTAAGAATTTTGTCTTTAGGTGAAAAATTGAGCGATGATGAAGTTACTGAACTTTTCGCCGATTGCATGGACCCAGAAGATGAAGATGGCAACATCTTTTATACACGTAAGTGCCAACTTTACGAGAATTTCGTAAATACCGTATACACCTCCACCTAGTAATCTAACACCTTCTTTTACATAATCCCACGTTTATTTCTTTTCTGTCGCGTATATAACAATGCGGAAAATTTTCTTCTTAATATTATCTCATTGTATGTATTAAATAATTTCTGGCTCCTTCTGAAAACACTGCACAATTTGCTCGATTGAATCATTCAAAATGATATTTTCTGTGCCTCGTTTATTTTTAACATCTTTAGCAAACACCAGCTTTGTGCCTAAATATGCAAGCGCGCGCAAAAAAAAGAAAAACTCACATCTCGACTATTTATAGAAGTTATAGTTTAAAAAGAGATATTTAGAAGAAAATGTTTTTCACGTATTGACTAAATCAATCCCTTGACAGAGTAATAATTAGAAAAAAATTTCTTTGTTTTATTTTTTTCTATGTTACGTGTTTAATGTTATTACATAACAAACGACATCATCATGTTTATGTGTCATCAATGTTTGTGACAAATAAAACAAACAGCATTCTTGAAAAAGATGATGGACAACCCAATTGTCTACAAGAAGTAAATTGTGTCTACCCCACCTATCATATCAACATCAAAACTACGCAAATTTACATCAAATGAAATCGAGAAATAAAAATTTTTATTTATTCGTAAGTGTTAATTGTTGATTTAATAATATTTTGTTTCTTGTCTACTTTTATTACCTTTTGTTTCAACTTTTAATTAACAAATCTTTTCTTTCATTATTATCAACAGCATTTCTCCGAAGATTGTGTGATGTAAAAGAATAAGTTAAGACTATTTTAAATTTTAAATAACACATCAAAATATAAAAAAAAAAACGACAACCAACATCATCAAGAATCAATCAAACAACATCTTTTAAATAAATCTAATGAGAAACTCGACGACAAAAGTGAATGAGAGAGAATCAATCTGCCGCTGATAAGAAGAAAATTCGTAAAAATGTAACATCGTGAATAGGAAGTTTATAAATCGTTAGGAAAATTTGATGTAGTGAATTACAAATACTTTAGGATTCTAATCAATGTGTGTGGGTCTGCAGTTTTCACACGTTTCCACATTGTTCTTATTTCCATCTATTTGTTTTACACAACTGTAACACTTCATCATTTAATCCTATCGGTCGTAAATGTTCGTATCATTTTAAGGATTTTTTTTCCTTTCATTAAATCAAACACGTAAAATATAAATAAAGTTTTTTGTAATAAGGGAATTAATTAATAAAATACTAAAAAAAAAACAGGAAAAATGTTTTTTCATTTCACAAATTTTATTTTTCAGAAGTTTGAAGTTTAGCATGTAAATAAATTTTAATTAGTGTTGTTGAATTTGAGTGTTATTAGAACCTTTTTTAAAGAATTTTGCTGTTGATAAAGATTGATTAACCACTGGGGGACTATCAACAGTTGGCTGTGTATTTGAGTCTGGTTTGAAGGAACAAATGCATTTCCATCCTTTCTGATAATTCATTCGCCACATTCGTAAGTAACCATCATCGCCTGAACTCACTAGCATTGTTCCAGTTACATTCCACGTTACACGCCAAACAGTACAATAATGATCATTGAATTGAGCAGCAGAAACTACTTCAAATCGACTACATCCAGTTTGATCAATTATTGGTTTCAAATTGAAAATGCTGACGTCCTTCGATGCAACAGCCAAGACATGATAACTTCTACCAGAGTTAGGTGCAAATGCGATGTCATGAACTGAATCTGTTATGCTTGAAATTGTTTCTGTTTTTGACCATTTTCGATTATATTCGCTGTACTCAAAGATGAAAACCTTCGGCTCATTACTTGTGCTGTCACTTCCAGCCGCAATCATTGGTGCGTGTAAACGAAACACTGAAGGATTCCAACTTATGCATGATAATGGCACTTTGCATGGAATGTCATGTTGCAGTGTCCATTGAGAAAGATTCATGATGTCTGGAGCTTCATAAATTCTTATTGTGCCGTCAGATGAAGAAGTTGCCAACACCAGACCGAGAGTTTTAGGACCAAACTTTACATCAGTTACACTTGTACGGGAATCAACTAGATTAGTTTTTCTTATCCAACGTTTTGTTGATGTACTTGTAGGTCCTGGTTTGTCACTTACAGTCTCTTCCCATACCGAAGCAGTTCTATCAAAACTTGCGCTTGCAAGAATTTGACCAAACTCAGGATGACCCCAACTTAGTCTCCAAATAGATCCAGAATGTGCTTTCCAACTCGATGATACTACCCACTGACCTTTTTCATTTTGTTCCCATACTTTGATTGTTTGATCAGATGAACATGTTGCCATTCGCTGAAATTAAAAACAATATTTTGATTTTTTTTCAAATTATTACTTTGTTGTTTACCTGTCCATAATAATCATATGAACAATCATGAATAACATCACGATGTTCTGTATGAATCACTTGATTATCAAACATAGTCCAGCAAGAGATTGGTACTAATGTAATGTTAATTTTTAATGAAGCATCATTTTATCAAAACAAAAGAAAAAACTTAGCGAATCGCATGTAATTTTACCGCATGTTTCATTAAATTGCGAATCGCAATAACACACGCGGCTTAAAAATCAATTTGTAAACAGAAAATAAGGAAATTTGTTTTCTTTCAAATAAAAAAAGAATTAATCATGAGACGGCTGTCTGACGAGCAAACAAAAATATTCTTTGAAAAACTGACTAAATAGTAAGACAAATTGTTAGATAATCAATGAAGTTATTAATAATTTTATTTTTTTCAGTATTGGCACAAATGTGAAACTTTTACTTGATCGTCCTGATGGCGCATATTGCTTTCGAGAAATGAAACGACGTGTGTATTACTTATCAGAAAGGATTCTCAAACTTTCTGAAAATTTAAATGAAGAACAGTTGGTATCGGTGGGAACGTGCTTTGGAAAATTTACAAAAACCAATAAATTTCTCTTACAAATAACTGCATTGACTTATCTTGCACCTTATGCTCAATATAAAGTTTGGATAAAGCCATCTGCTGAACAACAATTTCTTTATGGCAATCACATCAATAAAGCTGGATTAGGAAGAATTACAGAAAACACGCCACAACATCAAGGAGTTGTTGTGTTATCAATGAGTGACGTTCCACTGGGATTTGGAGTAACATCAAAATCAACAGCTGATTGTAAGCTTGCAGATCCTTTAGTTACAGTATGTTTCCATCAAGCAGATATTGGAGAATATGTAAGATCAGAGGATACATTAATTTAATCTTCTTAATTATTTTATGTAATTCAGTTTATTTAAAGTCTTAAATGAATAAAAATTATTTAATAAAATTTATCGTTTGCTTGAACGAGATCTTGATGATGATGAAGATTCTCTCCCTTTTTTCTTTACGACTTCAGTTTTCTTCTTTTCGGGAGTTGGTGTTGGAGTAGTGACAATAGTGAGACCTTTTTTGTTGCTGCTGCTAGAGCTTGATGAACTGTCATAAGATTTTGTGCTTTTAGTTGATCCTTCCTTCTCTTTTTTCTCTTTCGGCAGGCATGCCGAACAAACCCATGAAGTTAAATTTGTTTCATTCGAAATCTTTGGAACATGACATAATTGATGATGGAGAGAGTGACATTCAACGCACTCAAATAGTTGATTGTTAGCACTGCTGTCCATTGCTTGACAAGTGACACACGTCAAGTCAGTAAGATCCATTAAATCACTGTCAGCAGATTCGCTATCGTCATCAGGAATTGGAATAACTTCTGGTGTTGGAGCAGAAATTACTTTTACTTCTTCTGGCTTTTTGGGTTTATGCTTCTTGAAACCTGATCCTGGAGCACTTTTCTCATCATTCAATTGTTTCTTTGTTAGCAAACTACTTATAAGTTTACTTTTATCATCATACGTTTTTGAAATTTCATTATCAAGCATTGTTCTTAACTTTTCAGCAGAATCAGGTGCAGATGAATGAAGCAATTTCAGTGCTACTACAATATACGGATCAATAACTTCTGATGATGCCGCCATAATTATTTTTTTTTATAATTTAATATTTTTGTGAGAATGAAAACAAGTTTGAGAAAATAATCCAGAAACCGGCAACAAACTATGCGAATCGCACATGAAAATCGCATTTTCAAAAATTTATTAACCGTTAAATATTTTTAAAGTGGATCGAAAAAAAAAACAAGAGAAGATTTTTTCATGTTTAGAAAATAAAGACTACCTAAGTGTCATCTCGATTTATTTGAATTAAAATACAATTACAGTTTCTATAATTAATGATCATATTCAATAAAAGTATTAAGGGAAGCATTTCCAAACTCTTTTGTTACTTCAACACGGCCATTTGAATCAATGAATTCTACGATTCTGGTAACACCTTCTTGACACCTCCAAACATGTGACTTGGATTTTGAATCTTTTATAATGAAATTTGCTCTATCAATAAACTTTTTGACATCATGCTTTGATCTTTTATAGAGTTGTACAGTAGCGCTTATGTCTGTCTCAAATTTTATTAATTCATGATTTTTCACCCTTGAAACTATCGACTTCAACAACTCTTTATCCGACAATCCATCTTTGAAGTCGTTCGGTGATTTCTCAAACATTTTATTTCTTGTCACGTTCATTCTGTGCTTGGCAAATTCCAATTTGCTTACCCTGCAGTTGTTCTTTATGTCATGTATTACTTGATCCTCTGTAAAAACATTATAAATTAGAAATCGTGGTAAATATCAGAATTTTAAAAATCACCTCGCCATTTTCTGATTGATGGAAATTCACTTTTAGCAGCATTTTTTTGAGTTTTGTACAGTTCAACTGAAAGTTTCTCCATTGCATTATTTAGAAACGTGTAAGCAAAGTCACAACATGCGCAAAAGTCGTTTATTTTCTTGGGATTCAAAGTGAACACAAAGTTTATAATTTCTTGTTGTGAATTTTGACTGAATCTGTTGAGAAGAGCTTTAATGTGGAATATGCGATTAAGTTCCTTTGGTTTCGGTTGACCATATCTTGCAGTTATTCGAGTAAATTTCTTTGTCACTTCTTTGAACCATTCTTGAGCTTGATTTCTGTTAAACTCAGATTGTATTCTAAAACTACCAATTCTTTCATGGAATTTTCTAAGTTTTCCATCGACAATTTCAGAAGTTTTTGCCATCTGTATGACTTGAATAAATTGCTTAACATCTAATTGGGCTAAGAAAAAAATGCTGACTTTTAAAATGTCATTAATGTTAATAATTCCACACTCAACACTTGAACTTTCTTCAAATTTTATCATGTCAAAGAACTTGAAATCTTCAGTTTCATTCGATTTTATTTCCATTAATACTTCAACAGTGTTGCCAATATTCATCTTATCTGATTCCGATATCCACGTGAGGAATTTCTTATCGTCATTACATAACTTTCTCAGTTGATTGAACTTTATAGCATCTTCAACACTGAAATGAAATAAGTTTTCTTTCATAAGACGTGTAACATCGTGATTGTGTGCTATCTCAAGAACTTGATTTATGCTAAATGAAAATCCATTTCCGAGAGTTATGCTTGCATCTTTATTCAATTTAATAGATGGTGCAACTTTTGTTGTGTCATCGTCAATGACATCCCAAAAAGTAATTAAACTACTAGCAGCATCTTCTGGATTTATTCCATGATCTTTGCAGACTTCAGCAATGAGATGAAAAAGTGCAACGTCGTCTTGAATCTGACTTCGTAGTTTATTAAAACTTTTTGTTTCTTCTTCGCTCATGCCTCCAAGAATATTGAAAACTGTTTGACGATTACAAGACTTAATCGACATTAGAAACTCCATTGTAAATGTATGACCATTAATGTTCACTGTCATTTGTCCTGGATCCACAGAAAAGAATTGTGCGCCTGCCCCCATTTGATAGATTTCTACTAAAACATCACTCACTTGTGCGGGGTCCAATCCTTGTTTCAAATAACGAAAATAAAATTTAACTAACTGTTTGTCATTGTTGAATTTCACTCGAAATTGATTGAAATCATCTTGAGCGTGTCCAAGTGCTGTTGAATAACCATTAAGAACTTGATTATGAATTTCTTTAACAATTGTTGATGCAGGTTTATATGAAAAAACAGATTTCGCCCAAAAAGCAACAGAAGCGACTTGCATTAACATATCCATTGGTGACATATCTTCGAAATGAATCGCCATGTAAGCTAAAGAATTTGCAACTGCCACTGAATTTACTCCCAAAGTTGTTCCATTTATGATGTTGACAAAAGCTCTGAAAGTTTGTGAAATATTTTTTCCTTGAAAAGCTAACGTAGATAATCGAATTGTTGCACCCATGGCTCCAAAACTAATAACATTGGCACCAATTCCAAGCCATAAACTGAAAGTTTCATGATTTTCAAATGGACTTAATGTTTGCCCGTGATTTCCACGATCAACTAAATGATAAATTGATCTTGTAGTTGTGTAAATTGCTGACCCAACACCAGCTACAACAAAAGGAAGAGCAGCTCCACCTGTTAGGAAGACTGTCCCAATGGCACCGACAATTCCTATGACACCAGTTGAAATGTCAGCAGTTTTCATAACTTTTGATTGATTCGATCCGTAAGGCGTACTTTTGCATCTTGTTTGAACATATCCCTTACAATTCCTTTGCAAATGACCATTCAATGGATAACAAACTTTTCCTGGTGGAAGAACATTATTCTCCTTCCAATCTTGAAAATCTTTATAAACTCTTCCGACATTGTCAATGAATTTCCATTTTGAGTCAGTTTTGAAACGAAAAAGTGACAACGAATAAAGTTTTTCGTTTGAATAAAGTTGAATTGGCAAGACGGTTATCAAGAATCGATCTTTTCCTTTACTTTCTTCACTAATTTTATTGACAATCACGTCAATTGCCTTTCTTGAATCATCTTTAAAAAAACATAAATGACCAAACTCAGCTTCTTCCATTTCTTCTTCAGTCCATTTTGTTGGATCACTAAAGTGAACATTTAATGCAATTCCAATTGTATTCAAGAGTTGTGCACCTTCTAAAAGTTCAGGAATGTCGCCTTGATTATCTCCGCCTCTATCCATATAACGTGCAATGTTCTCATGTGCAACTGTTATCCACTTGTCTTTATCAATCTCCATTTTTACAAAGCTTTAAACCACCACCAATGTGATTTGGGGAGGTTCTTAGGAATGTCGATTCCTTTGAGTGGATAGTGAAGACCAAATTCGATCCAATCAGTTAAAATATTGTCAAACTCGTCTTCAATCGAACTAAACTCTCTTATTTCTTCTAAAATATTGTCGAACTCTTCTGTGATGTTCTTGAAATCTGTCAGCATAAATTCAATTCCGGAGCGGATTTTATAAACAGTTTCTTTTGAAGTTGAGTCGATAAAATCAATTTCTTTCCTAGCAAACACTGGAATGTAATTAGAAATCCAATTCGAGTACTTTGTGATAAGATCGATTATTTTTGTTCGTGTTTGAATGACTTTAAGTTTAATGTTTTCTGGTGGATCTTTAATCAGTTCAATGTCACCAAAAATTCCAATTTCATAAAAGATTATAAAAATATTCTTAAGGAATCGCACTGAAACACTGCTTCTCTCTGGAGTGTTTGATAACAAAGGTCTTAACGGATGCTTCTCCAAATCACAAAAACGTTTTTCTATTTTTAACAATCTGCCCAGAACTTGTGGAGTCATTTCTGTAATAGTAAAAAAGTTAACTCATGAAATATTTTACGAGAATCGGTAGACATTTGTGATAAGATAAAGAAGTTTATCACAAAATTACTTTTAGATCGATTTTCACAAAATTTGCGAGAAATAATTTAGAAGCTTCTTGGTAGTCACTCACTTATTAAAATGAATAAATTTCAAATATTTTCCTTCATTGCATCTTTTAACAATTTTTTATATTTTAGATTATCTTAATTGAAGTTGTTGATGAAAAAATCTGCGAGATGCCAAACTGACTTAACAAATGATCGCGAGTGTTTACTCAGTGAGTCTTTCTTACATACTGAAACAAATTTGGTGGAAAATGATTCCAAAATATAAAAGCTGAAAGATAAGAAAAGCGATAAGATATGATAAGAATAAAGATTTTATTTTTATTTTTTTTCACTAGTTACAGCCCAACCTATTGTCTTATTCTGATAAACTTGACCATCTGTTTGAGTTGCAAGTTTGTTAATTTGGTCGTGACGATCCTTAGATACCATTTCTTCTATAACTTCACCATCGCCTTTGATTAAGCGAGTTCTCCCCGTTTCAGGATCAACTACTCGTCTTATGACACTTTGACGCTTTTCATATTCTTCACGAGTCTCTGGTGCTTTATGCTTATTGTTCATAAGGTGGATAGGAATGCTGAAGTCTTCATCTGAATGTCTTGGATTTACTCCACAACTAGGTTCTCCTACTTTAGATGATTTTACTTTCATTTTCCTTTTTTCCTTCTTAGATTTCTTGCTTTTGTGCTTGTTGTCTGAACTTGTTTCACTACTTGAAGACGATTCACTGCTACTTGATGATGAGGTGCTGGAGCTACTTGTTCGTGCTTTTTTGTGTTTCTTATGCTTTTTGCTATCCTTCTTTTTAGATTTTGATTTTTTCTTGAAGGAATTCATTTCTTGAACTTTTCTCAGGTTTGTTTACGAAAATCTCTGAAAAGCGCAGTGTTTTACAGAAATCAGTTAAGTGGTCATAAACTTTGAGCAAGTTTAGTTCTTTTTTGCGAAATGTAAAGTTTGTTGACATTTTTTCGACGAGTTTTTATACCTTTTGGAGTGAAACATTTTTTCATCTCAAATTAATCCAAAAATTTTGTAAAAATTCTTGAAAACATAAGGTAAATAATGCCAAAAAAACTTGCAACAAACACAAAATCTGTAGAAGCTCGTGAAAGAAAGGCGACCGTCAAAAAAGAGAAGAATGAAGCTGATGAAAGACGAAAGGAAGAAGGTTTTAGCAATAATGTTTGCCAAAATTTCATTCATTAATCAACATTTATAATCATTACAGCAAAATGGGCAGATGATGATAAATCTTTAGCTAAAAAGCTCGAAAGAAAACAAGAAGAGGAACGGAAAAAAGCAGAAGCACTTAGGAAAAAAGCTGAGGCAAAAGCGTTACTCGATCAAGAAGAAAAATCAATTAAAACAACTGGCAAGATTTCACAGGCAAAGATGACACGAGCTCAAGTTGAAGAAGAAGTGAGGAAACGAAACAAAGCTGTTGAAAACATTAACAACCCTCCAAAACCTGTCGTTCCTAAAGTTGTTCCGCTGGAAGAAAATTTTAATCGAGTCATGGCTGACGTTCACGTCGCTTCAAATGTTGACCAAGCAATTTCTGTTCTTCGAATTAATGATACAGAAGACGATAAACACCCTGAAAAACGAATGAAAGCTGCTTTCAAAGCCTATGAAGATGCCCAACTACCAGTCATTAAATCTGAAAATCCATCTCTGAAACTCTCTCAACTAAAGCAAATCATTTTCAAGAACTGGCAAAAAAGTCCTGTAAATCCTTTAAATAAAGTTAAATAATTTTAAAAATTATTTGATGTACGAAACTGTGAACTTAAATAAAACTTAAAATCATGTTTAAAGAAGTTTTTCGGTGTTCTGGTTAAAGGTTTTTGTTAATAGATTTATGTCATTCGTCATTGAATAAATCAACTTAGTTAGTTAGCTAATTGAGGAAAATGTACGCAACATATTTACTTAAATGCACAAAAAAGTTGTATTGAATAATAAGGGTACAGACAATTAGATATGCCGTGGTGTGCCCTTGTCATGTGAGATTTTTTGTTGGAGTTCATTAAATCATCAAACCGCTCTTAAGCAAATCATTTAGAACAAAAACTTTGTAAACATAACTGCGCATCGAATTAAAAAGAAAGATAAACTCAAATCAAAGGTTCCAATCAATTATAAAATTCCAGTGAAATCAACAATACTTACCAATTCAATTTAAGTTTATTTTCGCCCTTGTTCCACACAAAAGCTCACAACAATCATCAACGGATGCAAAGCTTTAACAACTCTCAATGATGACGGTTCTTTTCTTTTAATTTTTTTACCTCTACATACTCTTCGTCACGATACTTCATCACATTTTCTCCACTTTTCGTTCCGTTTCTTAAAACCACTGCAAGACGATCATAAAATAATAAAACTACAATCGCGGCAGCTTCATTCTGTGAGTAGCTTTTGAAGTGATCGGTCGAGCTGAGTTAAAAAAAAAATTTACTCACGACTTTTCAGTTTCCTTTTTCTAAATAGACTAAATATCTTAGATATTAGGTTAAAGAAAAATAAATAGAATGAGAAGATACCAACCATTGACATAAAGATTATTGAAACGGCAAACCAACACTGATAAAAGTGAAAATTATTACGAAAAATTGCATTTCTGTGTCAAATGAAGAAAAATTGGAATTCTGTGATAAAAATGAAATGAAGAAAGAAGCAAATTAAAAGAGTGAAAATTTTAATAAAAAAAAGGAATTCAATAAATGAAATAATTTGAGTTTAATTCATCATCAACATTTAACGATCAATTAAGTGGATTAATTTGGAGCGAAAAAAGAATTAAAAAGGTAACAATATAATGAGCATAACTTTACAAAAGTGTAAATTGTTAGATTAAAATTTTGATTACACGATTTAATTAAGTTTTAAAACAGTTGAAGGAAAAACTGAGGAAATAAACCTAAAAAAGTTAACTAATTTAAAAAAAGTCTATCGGATCAATGTTATGGGAAGTTGTGCGATTATGTGAATTAGTTAAAGTTCATTTTCTTATTAAATTGACCACCAAAGTGGAGAATGATGAACCGGGAAACTTTCATCTGGTGGAAAATCGGTTTTCCGGTTGATCAAACGAATTTATCAATTTTGTTCCAAATAAATTTAATTCACAATGCAATAAAAACACAAGAGGCAAATTAATGAAATGAGATTATTATGAGTGACAAGCACTTAAAAAAGAAGTAAAAGAATGTTCAGATCAGTTGAAGTGAGAGGCGTAAAATACCTTAAATCTGGAATGAAGTGCCAGCTGATTTCGCTTGACCTATAAACAAAAATATATACCGGCGAAACTTAACAATAAATATTCAATCTTTTCCATCGTTAATTTCCTTTTTTTGCTCTTCTCATGTATTACTTAAAGTATGAGTGAGCCATTGTAACGGTTCTTCCATATTCCATGCTTCCATTCTTCGATTTACCGAACTATTTAAACTAAACTGAATATATCTTTGTATGTTTCTGTGCTGTTTGTGTGGATAACTGGCCGCTTACTTACACTCACTTTTAATGAATGCAGAATATAAAATGATTTTCCTAACGTTAAACTTTAATGAACACAAGCTTATCTAGATAAGAATGCCAATGCTTTCTTATAAAACTGTTTAATTAATGATTATACAATGCCCGACAAGACAATAAAGAAAACTTCTTTCGCTTCATAATAATGAAGAACCAGAGAAATTATAAATTGAAATGAAAGTAAAACTTGCTTTTCGTCAAGATAATTAACGGATATAATGAGAGGAAATTCCAAAAAATATGTTTAAGAAAAAATGAAATAATTTTCACGTTCAATTTAACATGAATAAACATTTTTTGTGAATTTTGTAAATGAGACAATGATGCAAATTTAAATTGACTCACGAACGTTTTCGAGTGAACACAAACCACTTTCTTCTTATTCACTAATTGATTCCGGAATGAGATAAGTTGAATTTGCCAGAAGCCCGTGTTAAGGAACCATAAAAATTAAACTTTCGCTCGTGATTTTTCGAAGAAGTCATAAACTAAACTGAAGTGACTCACGCAACTTCATTTCAATGATCAATTTGTATGTGCATGAAATCGCAGTGAAGTTGTGAAAAGTGAAACGATACCTAAGTAATGACTCTCATTACTCGTTGTGTTAAAGAAATCGTTTCATGGTAGTCGTCACATCTCGGGACGAAAAAGTGCAGCAAATTTGGATCCCAAATCACGTCTTGAGAGTGAAATCTCATAAAGAAATTCATTTCAAAGTTTAATTAAATTATTGTTATAAATAAATTAACTTAAATGACAAATATCAGATGACAGCAACCTGTTGGGTTCCCAAACTTCTCAACTTTCTCTTGTTCTGCATTCTTGAACATGCACATTTATTCAACTGTGATCAGTTCTTTTCTTTGACCCAATTCTGATGAGAACTGCAATGAAGATTGCTCAACAGAAACGAAAGAGTCGTCGTCGTCATCGTCTTGGTTAAGTTGTAAACACAAACGTAAACAAGTTTTATAAATAATGTAAAAGTTAAGATAACTTTGAAGCTTTCACCATCAATTGCACAATGAAATGAAATGTGAAGCTGATTGCATTTTCTAACATGTAATTTTGATAACAACAATTCCAAATTGATCAACATGAAGTTCAGTGAACCTTCAAAGTCGATATTTATGATATTTGATTATTCGAAGATATTTNACGAAATTCTTTCGTTCCACAGTTTTTATGAATTTAATGCGCGTGTAAGTAAATTGGTTTTTAAAGACTGAAATGATGATTCGTGAAAGTAATCTCGTAAGAAGAGAATTGTCTCGAAAGAATTGTTTACGAATTTTCTTGTTGTTTGTATGGCGAGAAATTATTTTCATTCAGAGAAGATTTATTCAGTAACGTTTTTGTTCTTTTTATTTTGGCTATGAACGTTTAAAGCGATTTATTTGACATGCAATCTCATTCACATTCCTACGTTTTAATGATTCTTCTTAATAACATAGAGAAAAATCAACATTTTAAGCGCCATTTAATATTTTGCTTAATTCGATATTATTTTTAGTTTGAATTTAATTTTATATTTGACTTTTTAGTTTTCTTCTCTGCCACAAAGCTTTTTAGCAGCACTTTTGATTGAACTTAAGACGGATCAAACTTTTGAACTTGTTACGAACACTTTTGAACCGTTATTACTAAAGCTTTCATTTTTTCAAAAAAGCTTCCTTGGAAAGAGTTTTGCAGTGAGTAAAACTTTTAATTTTAGTTTTAGTTCTGATATATCTAGAATATTTAGGTTCGTTTATTTGATACATATTTATTCTTCTAGTTCATAAAGATTCAAAGTAACAACATTCACTTGTTCGATAGAAAACTTTTTCTTTATTTTAAATGATTTTAAATTTTCAAACTGTTAATTCATTCTTTTTAGCTATAATTTCATTCTCCAATCCTCAACAGTCCATTACAAGAAAGAAGATAGTTAACAACTTACGAAAATGTTTTAAACATTACAAAACTCTTTCGTCACTCTTCGTGTATGAAAGTCTAGATATTTAATTTGTGTTTTGCTTTACAAGCAAGCCATTCTAACGGGTACTTGTTTTCAGACTTTTCATTACTGAACTAAACTAAAATATATGTTCATACGTATCTTTGTATGGATAACTGGCCGCTTTTCCATAAACACATTATTAAAAGAAATCAGACAAAGTTACCCTCCAGTAACTTACTTGAGAATTATCGTATTAACCGTGAAAGTAAAAATTACAACTATAAATTACGCAATTTTAAAACATCATTAGACTTTAGCGCAGCACTGGTGAAGCACTTTAGCGTCAGTCCTAAGTAGAAATAACTTCCTGCGAAAGGACACAAAAAATGAAAGTAAAATTTGCTTTTCGTCAAGATAATTAACGGACATAATGAGAGGAAATTCCAAAAAATATGTTTAAGAAAAAATGAAATAATTTTCACGTTCAATTTAACATGAATAAACATTTTTTGTGAATTTTGTAAATGAGACAATGATGCAAATTTAAATTGACTCACGAACGTTTTCGAGTGAACACAAACCACTTTCTTCTTATTCACTAATTGATTCCGGAATGAGATAAGTTGAATTTGCCAGAAGCCCGTGTTAAGGAACCATAAAAATTAAACTTTCGCTCGTGATTTTCGAAGAAGTCATAAACTAAACTGAAGTGACTCACGCAACTTCATTTCAATGATCAATTTGTATGTGCATGAAATCGCAGTGAAGTTGTGAAAAGTGAAACGATACCTAAGTAATGACTCTCATTACTCGTTGTGTTAAAGAAATCGTTTCATGGTAGTCGTCACATCTCGGGACGAAAAAGTGCAGCAAATTTGGATCCCAAATCACGTCTTGAGAGTGAAATCTCATTTCAAAGTTTAATTAAATTATTGTTATAAAGAGATTAACTTAAATGACAAATATCAGATGACAGCAACCTGTTGGGTTCCCAAACTTCTCAACTTTCTCTTGTTCTGCATTCTTGAACATGCACATTTATTCAACTGTGATCAGTTCTTTTCTTTGACCCAATTCTGATGAGAACTGCAATGAAGATTGCTCAACAGAAACGAAAGAGTCGTCGTCGTCATCGTCTTGGTTAAGTTGTAAACACAAACGTAAACAAGTTTTATAAATAATGTAAAAGTTAAGATAACTTTGAAGCTTTCACCATCAATTGCACAATGAAATGAAATGTGAAGCTGATTGCATTTTCTAACATGTAATTTTGATAACAACAATTCCAAATTGATCAACATGAAGTTCAGTGAACCTTCAAAGTCGATATTTATGATATTTGATTATTCGAAGATATTTTGTTAAAGAAAACCAAAATCAAGGTTGACATAAAAACAAGAAATTGAGAAAAGATGCGACGGCACTTCCATTTCTTTGACCCACATACCACAGCGGTTATGTCAAGTCAACAACAAAAGAATGAAAGAGCGAAAACTTTTTCCATCATCGCGAAATCTTTTTGAATTGTCGTTTTATTGTTTGTTTGCTATCAACAGTCGGTGAGTCTCTTTTTATTGTTCTTTGGTCAATTGATGAGGAACATAAATCAATAAAATGAGTTTTTGATGAAACGGATGTCACGAAATCATTCATCTTATGACTGACTCAATAATCAAGCACACGCGAGACAAAATTCTTGTGAAAATTTCTCCGTTCGTGGGAGTGAAACTTTCATTTTTCAAATTAGCAAGTATAAATTATTGCGGTTTGTTAAGAACGTGTTCGCTCTTTTATTTTCAACATTTTTTCATTTGTTTCCCTACCGCAGACTCAGTTAGTTATCTTTTCAGTTCACATCACTTTCGTTGTTCTCCGCACAATGGCGTTGATTGAATAGAGAAATTACTTTTAAACGTGTTTGGGTTTAACATTAATTCTACAAAGTCAAAAACATTTTAATGAAATGCAGAAATTGTCTGAATAAATTTTCAGTTCTTACACTCAAAAATGAATAGTTTAAGATTTCGTATCAAAAGAAAGTTGTTAAATGGTTTGACAAACTTTTTGCGAGTCCCAGTTTTGGAAATTTCATGTCATCATATTAATAAGCTGAGAAATGTTCCTTCAACTTTTCTTTCCCAAAAATAAATAAACAATGATATAAAATTTACATAAACACAGGTTTTCCAATTTCTTTTCAACAAAATTTAATGTTTCAATATCTTTAAAAGAAAAGAATGAAAAATAGCGTTAAGAAGGCATTCAATTGAAAAACAGAAACAAGGAATTGATATGAACGCATTAAACGTTTCGTATTTCCGTTGGTCACCGATTTGGGCGTGCATTTCCATCAATCACATTAGTAGAACAATTAGCGGAATCTCGCATACACAAAGTCAAAATTCAGCGTTTTATTGGAAGTCTTAAAAGCTTTTAACCGTTACATTCCACCAACAATACTTAAAGTAAACGCGCATGAAGGTCAAGGTTGCTTTCTTTTGAGTCTATGAAAATAAAACATTCAGCAGAGTTTAAACTTTAGCTTAAGCAGAGTTGAAATAAAAAATGAGAAAAGAAATTCAACAAAAATAATTGAGTCATTCATATTTTCCGGCACACGACTTCATGTCAAATTCCAATTAAAAATCTTTCTTTTACTGATTTCTTTTCTCTCATTTGTTTTTACAGCCAAACAAAGATGTTGAAGTCAACAGTGATTTTGGGTGCGATTATTTTAGTTGTACAAGCACAACTTGATATGGATAGCGACAAAATGAATTTCGAAGACAATATCGCACAAGAATCTCAAAGCGATGAACAACGTATATTCGCAAATGCAATCACCGCAAAGCCACTCTTAAACGACGGTAAACCGTTTTATGTGGCACGCGATCCGGCAACTGGAACTCTAGACTTTAATATGAAGAAAACTGTTGGAATTTCAAATGATATTCCGGTCAGTCAAAAAGATGAGAAAAACAGCGCAGGAAAATCGGGAAATGATATCAACAGTTTAGGTCACAATAATTTCCACGATTATTTGAATCTTCCAGTGAAATATTCCTCATCAAAATTCGTTTATCCGCTCATCTCTGGTTCGTATGCTAATCTTAAATACCAAGGAAACAACAAGAATCACATTTCGAATCATAAGAATTATTCAACAACATCGGCAACGACAACACAATCTCCCAAATATTTCACTCACATTACGAACTCTGATAAGAAGTTTTACACAGCTACATTTAATCATCCCGAATCTTCATCAACGAAGATTATTCGAACAACGACGACTAGAGAAGCAACAAAACCAACGAAACCTCAAACGACAACTTCTAAGAAAGCGTTCACAACATCAACAGCAACAACTATCGTCGAGGTCCCAACAACGCCATCAACAACTGTTAAGTATAGCTCAACAATCATTCAGAATTCATTCCCATCAACATTTAAAAATAAATATGTGGATTCATCGGAAACAAGAAAGAAGACAACGATGGCAACAACGACAACAAAAATTCCAAACACTCCGGCATCAAACCCTGTAAAGTTTCTCGATGATTTACTGGAAACTGTTGGAATGAAAGAAACAAAACCAACAACTTATAGGCCACCATTTGATGCTACTCGATTCTCTTTTTCAACTTCGATGCCATTACTTAAACCAAGTGCTTTCAAGCCTATGCCAACTGAATCACCATCGAAGAATAGTTCACAAAAGATCACATTTGAGAATGGTTCAAACGACCCATCAGCAATGTCACTCTCGGAAATCATCAATTCCATCTCGGGAAATGATCAAATTTCCAATGATAAAAACGCTGTTCATTATGCTGATAAGAAACCAGCAGCAACTTCCTTTCCATCAAAGAAAGTTACACAAGAACAAAAGCCATTAAATCAACACAAGAAAACTCTTCAACAACAAATTCAAAATGGACAACAACAGCAATTTATTGAACTTCCAGTTCATCAGCCACTTCAATTTCCACAGCAACCACAAAGTAATGATTTAGGTAACAATGTAGTTTCTTCAAACTCACAATATGATGATTATGTTGAGTTTTCCAACCCAAACGATCAATTCGTGAAGTATGAAGTACAAAAGCCAAATGTTAATCTCGTGAAGTTTCAACAAGCTCCAAGCATGAATAATGTTGTGATTTCTCCGGGGCAAAATTCAGCCTCATTTGTCTTAGGAAGTCAACAAAATATGGGAAGTGTAGGTATAGGCAGTAGCATGGGAGTTGGTACAAGCAATCATGATTACAGCAACGGACCGATGAAAGCAGGTCAAGTCATTAATGAAGATCCACCACTTCGTACATCATCCAATCAACAAAATATTAATCAAATTCAACAAACCATTCGTTTCCCAAGCGAAGCTGAAAATTCTTACGTCAATGCTCCGATTGTTAAAGGCACGATCAAGACAGAAGGAATAGTCGAGAATGTCCAGCCACCTCAAGCTTTATCTCAAAATATTCCATCATCACAAAATCAACTCGTTTTTCCTTCAAGTGGCGAAAAACTTTCCCAAAACGAAATAAAGTTTGGTAATCCATCACAAGCGGTACATTCAAATCCATCTCAAGTTATTTTTGAGAATGTTAATGACATTTATGAGAAGATAAATGACAAAAAACAGAAACAAGAAATACCAACAAGTGAATTATCGAATAACATTCCAATTGATGATTCAATACCATCACGAGTATTGACACCGCCAAGTCCGATGCATCAACATCCATTCATACAACATCAACAGCCACCTCAATTCAATAATATGAGACGACCTGGTCCGGGTCAGTACCGACCTGGTTTACCAAATATTTTACCTCAATTTAGACCAAATGCGAAGACATCTCAAGGACATCCACAGATTTATAAAGATGTTGGTGCGATAAGAATTCCTTATCAGGGTCAGAATCCAAATAATCGCAATTATCCGCCACAAGTCCCACAACATAAAGTTGGCCTGGCGAATCATCCATCAATGATGCATCACCAACATCCAAACAATCAGAACTATCGTCGACTGCCACCACATCATCATCATCACAATCGAATCAATAAAATTCATCATAATCATCCACATTTCCATCCAAATATTGAAACAGCAAATCGAAGAGTTTTTCGTCTTCCACCACCACCACCACCGCCGATGAATGATCGAAATTTCAATAAACCACCAGCATTATCACCTCCAGGATTTCAACTTAAAAGGCCAACAAATGGAGCTCCAGAAACAATGCAAATGCAACAACGACCATTAAATCCTCCAGTTTTTGTCGACTCCGAACTTAATAAATCGTCACCACCTCAACCTGTTCAACATTTTGTGCAGAAAGGAATAATGAATGAAAATGATCCAAACAAAACAAATCTCGAGCCTGTTATAACTTTACAAATGTTGCAGAACAAGAAAAGTGGCAGCAAATTAAACTTGCCACCAGTTCCACATGACATTCCACAAGATCTTCAATCAAGTTTCCCAAATAATCATAAGCAAGACATTTCGAAAAATCCTTCAATTTATGTTGTTTATCCTGTGAGTTCGAATTCAAATGAACAGTCTTTGATAAACTCAAATAGTGACTCAGCTTTGATAGGCGAACCACACAGTTCCGGCTTACCGGAATATCAAAACACTCCGTTCTCAGTTGTCTCACATTTCGAACAAGAGCCATTGCTGATGAAGAAAGACAAAAAGAAGAATCAATTCCCGTATCATCTTGAGCGACCAGCTACAAATGAGTACATAAATCGACCTCATTATCTTCCGCAACACGATGGCTCAATTTACAATACAGGTGAAGAACCAACAAGTTCTCGTGTCGTAAACAAACGTCCGCCTTTTCTTAGTGAAAATCCCGACAGTGCAATTTCTAGCACATTAACAAGAGTTACAGAGAAACCAATTGCTATTGCTTACACACCAACTGAACCAAATAGACATTTCCCGACAGTTACAAATTTCTATCATAATTTACATCCGCACCATCATTACCAAAATCCATACGAACCTCATTTGGGAAATGACAAGTTCTCCCTTCCGGACTATGGTGGGCCAGTAATCTCTGAGATTCTTGATGAGAAGCACATTGGTTACGATTTTTACCATCGACAACAGGAACTTCAACATCATTTGAATAATGGAGAAGATTTAGAATTTTATAAAGAACATTACGACTTCCAAGCACCGTTCCATGCCAGTGTCAGTTTAAATCCCGAAGTCACAAATCCATATGAAGGCTGGTCAATTGTAACACAATCAACAGACACAAATAAAATTGATCGTGTAGATCTTCATGTATCTGAATCAAGTGAAGAATCAACAACAAAACAATTCGATCCCAATGAGTTTCAACCGGTTTTTGAGAGTGGATTTAAACCCATTTATTCAAGTGCTAAAGTAAGTCTTGCACCTGAATTACTTTTAGACTCAAGTGAATATCCATCAACACTTGGAATTACATATTCAACACAACCTATCACTACAACTAAAACAACAACAACAACGACAACACCTCAACCACCTACAACGTCGTCAACGTCATCATCAATGGAAGTATCGACAGAAATTGAACCAAAATCAAATTATGAGACGACAACAAAGAAAGTTGAAAAGAAGAAAGTTGAGATCGACAGCTTAGAAGCTTTCTTTGATTCATTAACTCGCGATTATGACGATGATGATGAATCGACAAACAAAAGTGAGAATGAGAACAGAAGTCAGTGAGAGTTCATGCTTTTTTCCCTTATCCTCGACTTAAATCAAATTGCATGTTTATTTGCATTTCACAACATTCCGTATATAAATAAAAGAAACAAAAATAGCAGCATTGAGTATCTGATGAAAGTACCGCGTAAACAACAATAATATTTAATAATAATAGATAAGAATCTTACAATGTACTGCCATTAGATACTTGATAACCATTTGTTTAATATTCCGTCCTTTGTTACATCAATTCAGTAAACTAATCTCTTAATAAATCATCTTGAAAGCTTTCTCAGAAGCACTTCGACAACTTCTCACTTACGCCTTAAACAATTAATTACTTAACAAAGTTTTCTTTGATATAAAACTATAAAAATTAGATTAAGTTAAAATGCAAGAATTTCGCTACATATGAACATTAAGAAAATAATTTATTCATTATTTATTCCTAAGAAATAAAGTAAAATGTTTACCTCTGTTTGTTTCCAGTTTATTTTTTAAAGTTTTCAGAATTGTTTAAAACAAAAATCAAGAAAGATGAAATAAAAAGAAAGAAAGAAAACAAAAATTGAACAAAAGAAATTGTAAAAGATTTTCAGTCTCACCTTTTATTTTTGGCTTCAGCTTTCAGGTTTATGGACAAGTAAATAAGTAAGTATGTGAAGATAAATGGCTAGTTGTTGTATGAGCTAACTGGTGCATTTATAATCAAGTAAATTTGAAGAAATGATACAGAGAGTGCCCTTAATCTCAAGTGGAATGTTTTTGTATGAACGACTAGCTTTAAACAAAAGAATCGAATGCATGTCAACATGAAGAAGTAACGAGCATTAGAAAATTTGTGTCAAGAAATAAGCTTCAAGCGAATGTGACTAAAAATATTTTATGGCACCGTTAAGCTACAGAAGAGCTTTTTGAAACGATTTGTAGGCAGAGTGTAAATTAATATGCAAATTTAATTCCAACTTTCAAAATTCATTTTTGATTCGATCCAATTTTAAGATTTTAATTGTGACACTAATCAATAGATTTTAGAACAAAAACAGAAAGTTTTTACGTATTTTTATAAAATTAACTCTTTTATGAAACTTTCCATCGTAATTTATTTATTCGATCAGCACCATTGTGTGAAAAGTAACAACAATGATG